TTATCCGTGCCCCCAACCACCCCGCAAGCAACCAAATGCGGTTCCTCGAACGTCTGGCCAGTCTGAAGCGAAGCAAGGGAGAGACCGACACGGTGCGCACCGTCTTCAGCACGAAGCGGATCCAGTCGGACCATGCATCTTCGATGGGCGGGCGGGCGCTCGGCTGGGCGCGCACCGACGAACAGCTAGCAGAAATCCAGCGCTTGAATGAGCTGGCGTTGCAGGGTGATGCGGCTGCGATGGCCGAGCTGGAGGCGCTGTACACCCGGCTTGGTGAGGATGTCGAGAGAGAGGTGGGGAGCGATGACGACGATGACGATGATGGTGATGGCGATGGTGACGATAATGGTAATGTTAATGATATCGAGATGGGAGGCATGGAGGGAGAGCCGGAGGTTACGGGGGAGGATCCCACGCGGGATCCAAATCACGACCAGTACCTTGACCCGGAAGAGTTACTCTCGCAGGCTCGCCGAGAATCTCAGCAGCCGCAGTCTTGATTCATGCTCTTTGTTTGACTGCACAACATCCTCTGTTCAGGACGGTCAATCCTCCCCAATATGGTCACGTGAGAGGACCATGATCAGAGGCTCCAAGCCGAGGTCCATCTTTCAAAGGGGAAACAAGCTTTAATAGTCACGAGTACTATTTCCACCGCACTGCCCTGTGGGCTCACTCGGCCCTGCCGAGGCTCGCCAGCACAAATCCTGAACGCCGAACAGAAAAGCGTATGAGTAAGAGAGTCGGCGGTAACCGAATCGGAATCCGGGATGGGCCCCTTGGTTTTGCATGCACGCTACCCTACTAAGTTATAGCTAGGGTAGTTAGCGCCCTGCAGCATACGAAGAACTACCGCAGTCGCGTAGAGGCTAGACCCCGACGCTACCATCACGATACCGTCTACAGATGTACTGTACCGAGGTCGGTCTTCTGCCATGTCGACAATGATGAACCATGGCGTCATCGGGTCTCGGGCTGCAGGTACTCATAGCCGTATTATGTGGATTTGTATGCGCCTCTCCCACTCTGCATGTGACCGGGAGTCTGGGGATCTGCAACGCGTTCACCATCAGGGCTGATCCTCATGATTGGATGGAATGCACGTTTGCTCTGAGGGGGATAGATTAGAAAATGATTTATTCACCTCAACAAATGACAAAGTGTGATCTCATCCCATACAGTATCATCGAATATCCAAGATTATTTCCTGTCTCTCGCCCCCTCACAACTATACCACAGCATATAGAGTAGATGTATCAGGCACTGATCCATTTTCCCAAAGGTCAATAGACCCGAGCAGTCGTGCACAGTAGCAAAAAAAGAAAACAAACACTCTGACTCAAGTCCGCTGCACCAAACGCTTTTTGGTCAATCAATCTCATTCCATTGACATGAGTACCATCCAAAGCTATCCCCGCCCCCAACCCCAACCCCATAATATACACACCATCTCCATCCCAATGGGAGATAATACAACAGAACAAACCAGGTTTCGAAAATAGGAAAGCAATCCCCGCCCCACTCCATACTAAAGACCAAAAGAGAAAATCCCATGACCAGGAGAAGACACCACCTCCGAAAAGCGATGAAAAAGCGCAAGGTTTTGACCCACCGACACCAGAAAAACAACCGAAAAGCCCAACACGCAACAACCAATGTTAACCAAAAAGAAAAAAAAGAACACCAAGGAAGCCTGCACGGTTTGGAATGCACCCGCACCCCCCCCCCCCCCCCCTTACGATATTGTAGCCGGGTCCACGTGGGGGGGTTCAGAACCAAGCTTGAACCGGGTTCTTGCAATAGGGCGAGAGGGAGGACAGAGCCCCTGCGCGCTATTGTCTGAGTTTTGTAAAAACAGAAAAGGTTTGGAATCACCGGCCCCATAGCGCTCTCGTCTCGACCGGCGACGGAGGGGGTGGAGGAGGAGGCATGGGCACCTCCAGGAGCCCTGTACTCGTTATTGGGGTTGCTGCGCCGGTAGCGCTCGCCGTCCGGGCTGCGGACTCGACGGCGATGGACTTGGGGATGTGGTTGGCGGCGGAGAGGATGGCGGCGGAGATGTCCTGAGGGAATGTGGAGGAACAGGCAGGAGTTATGAGGGTAGGACGATGACGTTGCGGGGACGTGTTGGCCATTTTGTGCCTTGTATTATGCTGTTCTGTGGTGGTTGTGGTGTTGTTGCTATGGTTTAACGGGGTTGCAGTTCAGGGTGTATGTAGTTCAGGGTTCAGAGGTGGTTGTTTCTTGGGGTCTGTTCTGGATGGAGGAAGGTTGCTATAAGTTGCTAAACTTGATAGCACTGCAATTGAGGTATTAGCAAGAAGTATATCTACAAAGGCGTGGGTCAAGGTAGATATAAGTAATAGCTGATGGTAGGCGGGCACATGGCAACTCGTCGTGACAATTCGGCAGACGAGGACCCGTAGGGCCGAGAGGGAAGCTCCGGGGGTATACAGTACATGCTGGAGCTCCGAAATTCGCCGAGGCAGAAAGGATTCCCGGGGTGCAGTCCTGTCAATGGAAAGTAAATGACTTGCTTACCTCATTTAGTGAATTAAAGATGGTAACAGTGATAGGAGTAGCTGTTGTCGCAAGTAGTGTTCCAAGCAGTGTCTGGTTTAGCGGAAGATACTGGGTTCATAGGGTAGGGGGAGATGCTTTTTAAACCCCCATTGACAGAGAACAATGAGCAAATGAAAGAAGGATTAGGAGGGCGACAGAATGCAGGGCGAACAAGCCACTCGACGCCAGCAGTGTACAGTACACTCAACTGTATACTAGGAAGCACAACTACTCGTTGAAGGAGTAGTGTAGTAGTAGTAGTAGTAGTAGTAGTAGTAACTAGTTGCAGGGGTGAATCTGTTGGGGATGGGAAGTCGCCCGAGTGTTTTGAAAACGACAGATGGAATTCCAATGCGGATTAGTGGACTCTACACGGACAGTGGATAATCCCCATGCTCGATCCTTTGTACTATTTATTTCTCCTGGACCTCGAATCGAGAATCCCGACTAGGTTCAGGGCTGGGGACGCCTCACCCAGCGACTCGGTCCAAAGGGTGGGTTGAAGGCTGCATGCTTGCCACGACGACGGGACGGCAAGACAGGACAGGGCGGGAGAACTCCCGGGGAAGAGCTGAGCTTCTTCCGGGGGAGGAGACGAGCAACTTGAGCAAAAGAGAGATAAATTGGAGTGAACAATTAAAGAAAAAAACCGGGTCGCCAAGGGATGGAGAAAACCCGATGGGGTAAGGATTCAGCCAGGGCGGATGGAGAAACGTACGTGTGCATTTTGTGGGGAAAAGCGAAACAAGGGGACGGACTGGACAGTATATCGTAACGTTAGTCACTACTACCTCAGGGTATGAAGGATGCCAGATGGATGAAAGGGACCCTGGAATTGAAGCATAGTCGATAATGTCTGAGTATGTTGACTTACGAGTCCACTCACGGAGTATGTGTACAGTATAGTATGTACATGCATAGGACATGTTCCATTCTCCCCCATCCTTCTAGAAAGATACTCAGTAACAAAGAGAACTCCACCGGGAATCTGTGAAGTCAACCGTGTTCAATGAGTGGCAACACCCAGTACAAGTCTCTGATTTCTATTTCCATTTTCTTCTCTCAAGCCACCAAAGCTGATCCTCCCTCCCTCCTTCCCCCTCCCCTTTTCCCCGTATGGTAGGTAGTACTGAGTATACTGCGCACTCGGTATACATACTCCAGAAAATGACTGCAACTGCATTGTCCCTTTCCAGTAGTCCAGCACTACTGTATCCATGATTCATTCCGGAATCCCTTCCCTCCCTCCCTCCCACCCAATGCTACCATGTACTGTAGTGCACTGCGCCCTGTAGAATCAAACATAGAGACAGACAGCTCTCCAAACCGAGCAAGATGAACCAGGTCTACCTGCCTTTCCCTCCCCGAGTCCCCCCATCCCCCACATTCCATCCCTCCCCCATCATTCTGGAGAAAGCTGTATATATATATATGAAGAAAAATGAAACGAAAAACAAAACAAGCAAAGCAGATCATCCTTTGCAGTTATGATCGACAGCTTCAGCAGCAGCAGTAGCACCACCACCACCACCATATGCTCTAGTCAAACCCTCTTTTTTTTTGGCCTTCATCGTCCTGCCTCCGATAGCAAGCCCCCAACAAGAAAAAAGGGGGAAAAAAAAGAAAAAGAAAAAAAGTTCGTTGACTTTGAAGAAGACGCCATCCTTCGACTAGTCCTGTTGATGTCACTCATCAACTCTACCCCCCTCACCATAATCATCCATTCATCCATTCGCAACCATTCGCAACCATTCGCAACACCACCACCACCAACACCTCCAGCTTTCACCATCCAGCATAATGCGTGCTGTACATCTACATTTACATGTACATGCATGTCCCATATCCACTGATGTCATAACGCAGCATACATACAATGTAGCAAGGGGAAAAGAGGGAGATAGGACCTACTTCCGTAGTGGATCTTCCCCTCCCTAGCACCGTATCGTATCCCCATCCCCCATCCCCCATCCTCTCCTCAGACAGCCTCGCACCCACCAACCAAACAGAAAAAAATGAAATCAGACGAAAAACAGATCCTGCACGGGGCAGGGCGGGGGGAGGGGGTGAACCTGAAAGAAAGGGATGGTTCTAGATCAGATCCTACACATTCGATTACCGGAATAGGTAACCCGGCCAGAACAACATAACAGATTCATACGAGAAACTACCTACAACTATAACTGCACATGAACATAATATGCAGTACATGTCTAGTCCACACGCACACCAGGAAAAGACATTTTCAACCAGGATCGTCAGAGGGGTTAAAGAATTACCAACCAGTCCTCCTCTGAAGGAAAGGATTTCCGGTCAAGATCCAGCGAGTAGCGTGGTGACTTGGAAAGACAACCGGTGGAAAGCAAGACGCATAGCATGAAATTCGTTTCGATTGTGGAATGAAAACATACGCGCGGCTTTATTTCGTTCTTTTTTTCGTCTCTTGGGCTGTTTAACCCTTTCCTTTGTAAATGTGTCTCATTCCATTACTCTATACCCTGGCCGCCCACGGGAGGGAGGGGATATGGGGGTGAGTCTATACAATTTTCCATCCATTCGCTTTATCCCTTGGTGCAACATGCGACATCGAGGCCGGTTGCTGTTCTTGTATACACAGAAGACTGAAATGAAAGAAAAAAAAGAAACACAAACATAAGTCAGTAAGAATGCATTCGGGCCGGAGAGAAATGGGACCCGGAGGAATTGACCAGCACGCATTCAACACATACACACACACCACCCACCAGCACCTAACGCCTCGCAAACCAAAATCAACCGGCCAGCCAACCTGCCCCGCCAAGGTCATGAGTAGTAAGGAGCTCATCGGCCCGCGGGAGTCAGACTAAATAGATGAAAAAGAACACAAAACAGAAAGACAATTACTCCTCGAACTTCCTCTTGATTCCGTTCTGGCCGTTCGGGGGTCCACCGCCCCCAGGAGCTTGTCGGTGTCGTTTCCGAGCTTCCTCCTCCTGCAACGCCTGACGCTTCTTCCACGCCGTCTTGATTGCAGGAGCCATGCGGATGAGGTCCTCCTCCGTCACCCGATCCTGGATACTCTCCAGAACCTTATGCACCGTCGAGATGTGATTCGCGTCCGACTTATCATCCCGCAGCCGATGGAACCGCCACCGGCCCTGGTCATCCTGGGCGCATTCGACGATCGTGTCATCCAGCGGCTGGCCCAGGGCCTTCATCGCCTCCCACTCGTCCGGCGTGACGAACATCTCCCCGAAGGGCTGGTACTCGTTCGTGCGCAGCAGCACGAATAGATGGAAGATCGGCATCGCGTCGTAGTCCGCGTACGGTTCCGTGACCCCCTCGGCCTCTTCGTCAGTGTCCGGCTCGAGCAGCGGGAACTCCAGCCTCATGCGGAAATCGATGGTGTTCTCCGCCGGCGGCTTCCACTTCAGGATGTGCTCGTCGGTGCCGATCTTGTACGGGGTGCTCCGACACGTGAAGATCAGCCCGTCGTTGCCGTGAATCTTCTTGACCTTGGGAATGATCTCGCGGAACATCATCTCGATCCCGTAGCTGAACTGCGTCGACTTGTCCTCCACCGTGAACGTGCGGTGCGGGATCTCCTCGGGGAACTTGCGATACATGGCGTTGTACGGCCGCAGCACCTTCTCCTTGAAATAGGCTAGCCGCTTGTCGAGCGTGCGGTGCATCAGCGGCTGCCCGTCCAGCACTAGGCAGTCGAACACCAGGAATTTCAGCTGCTGCGTCCCGTCCTCGTAGGTGTCGTTCACGAGCTCACCGTCCACGATCGTATTCACGTGGAACTGTCGGAAGCTGTCATCGCCGGGGAGTGGAAAGTGCAGCCCCGGCACCCACCGGTAGTCGTTCTTGCGGTCGATCAGGTAGTGCACCTCCGGCGTGTCCGAATCCGGTTCCCCGTGCGCAAAGTACATCAGGCACCGGATGCCATCCGTCTTCTCGCAGACATAGTAGTCCTCCCGTTGGAGTTCGGTAAGATGTCGCGTCGCGAAACTGACCGGCTGCGCTCCGGGAAAGTTCAGGTTGTTGCGCCCCAGAAGACTGGCGACCTCGCGCCGGAGCATGTCGGCCAGCTCCGGTTCGGCTTTCACGCCGACCGCGTCGAGGTCGGGAACGGAGTTTCCCATCTTGCAGCTGGATGAAGAGGAGTGCGGGGTGGTGGGTGCGTAGGTAGGTAGGTAGGTAGGTAGGTTGGTAGGTAATAAGGGCGAGGCGGGATCCAGATTCAATCGAGTGAGGTGGACTCGACAATGGACGGATCGGAGTTGAGATGGGCGGGCGATGGGGTTCTTTTGGACTGTCTGTAGAGAGTTGAAAGTAGGTTGAGAGTTGTAGAAGAATTGAGGTCGGACCGAGGCCTCGCCTGCAAAGCCGCGCGGAGCTTTGCGCGGTGTTAAAAGAAAGGAGTGTGAGGTGAAAGAAAGGGCAGGCGCATTGAGCTCAATTAGGTGGGTGGGCGGGCTTTTGTCGCCGTTCGGCGGAGATCGCGGTTGTGGCCTGAGGCAGTCACTGACATGCCACCAGTATAGATTCTCAGTAGCCTTCGGGTAATCATCTGGCACAACTTATCAAAGAAACTTTCGTAATATTGGCAAGGTCTAAGAAGCATTACTGACTGACAATATTTGATGTGAAGTTGCATTGGAATCTCTATCAAATCACACGTCAACCCATTTTGGACACAACTGTACACCAAGTAAAGCAACAATGCATGCATCCAAACACTCAACACGGGGTATCATATCATCACAGAAGTCAAAAGAGCGCAGCAAAGTTGAATCATCCTTAAAACGCCGTCACCAAACCCGTCCATGCCTCCAACTGCTGACCCATCGCCGTTTTGTAACCCCTTAAATACCACTGGGCAGCAACATGAAGAACCCATTCAACACGGAAAAAGTACTGAATTCATAAACCATTCGCCCACGCACCTGCCTGGACCAAGACCTCACGAGCTTGCCGCCACGGAAAGTTTCTTGGGCGCAGGTGCGGCCGGAGTTTTCGTATCAGCATCTGTCGCATTATCCGGCACAGTTGCAGAGACCGGTAAAGCCATGTCGACTTCGTCCACGGGGGTGAAAAGATTCCCATCGGAAAACAGAGAAGGCGTAGATGAGGTGTTGTCGCCGGTCGAGAAGAGGCCACCACCGCGCGAGCCGCCCAGAGCATGCGACAGCATCTCTTTGATGCGCACATACTGGTACTTTTTCTTGGTCGAGATCAAGGTGTGACTGACAAGGGGATGTGGATGTGAGCGCGTGATCGCCGCCATCACGGCATCCTTCTCTTCATCCGAGTCGACCGGACCGTTATTATCTTGCTCGTCCTGCAGCGGCGCGTTGGCATCGATAGCAGCCTCTGTCAAAAGTGCATTAGCCCCACGGTTTTCACTCATTCCGACTCGAGCAGAAGAAAGAGAAACTTACTCTGCTGCCTCGCCTGATTTTTCTTCTGATACGCCTGCAGCAACATGTCGTATGGCAACGAACGTCCAGGGACCGCTCGCTTCGCACCCATCGAATGGCTCTTACAAGTCAAAGAGCGCGCGCACTGGGCCCCATTCGGCAGAGTAACACCGCACTGTTTCTCGACATCCACGGGACCCTTCGGTTTTGCGGTCTTCGGTTTGGGCTCCTCCTTCTTTTTCTTCTTCGTCTTGGGCTCCTTGCTATCCTTGTCGTCGCCATCCCCGGCCTCCGTCTTCCGCTTCGTGCCCTTCTTCGCCCCGATCTCCGCCGCCATCCCCTTGACGGCGCTCTTCTTCGCGCCCTTCTGGCCCTTCATCGACGAATCCTCTCCACCTTCCCCTTTCTCCCCGCCGGGTCCTCCTCCCGCACCGCCGGCGCCGCCCACGCCCACCTCCTCGGTATCATCCTTATCGCCGGCCTTGGCCCGATTCGCCGCATCGCGCGCCTCCTTCCGCTGGCGTGCCTTCTCCTGCTTCGCTCGAATACAGCCGCGGATATGTTCCACGGCATTCTGCTTGAGGACCGGCCTCTTGCAGGTCTTACAGATGACCGTCTCCAGATGATCTTCTTCTCGCGGCTTGCCCGTCGGGAAGGCGGCCATAGTCTTTTCGTCGATCTCCGGAAGAATCGGGGATGAGCCGGGTGAGGCGGGGGGTTCTGTCATCGCATGAAAGAGGGTTTTCATTAGCATCTTCTCTTCTAGTAGTTCCAATAGGAAACCCAACGTCTTCTTCTGCCTCGAGTTGATATCTCCATCCTCCCCTCCGCCTCAGGAATCCAGAGCAGCGCACCCTTTTCCCAGACAGAAACAAGAACAACACAGGAACCGAGAAAGAAAGAAAGGGGAAAAAAACATACCATCAGCCTTCTTCCTACCCCCCAGCTTCGCCGACTTCTTCAGCTTGATCTTCCCGGGTTTCACATCCTTCTCGGAGAATTTATATCCGGACGCATCAACAAAACTGCCAGCAGTTGTTGTTGTTGTTGATGATGATGCGACAGAAGGGGCTGCAGCGCACAGTACAAAGGTGAGTCACGAGAAATTAGCCCAATATTCTTCTTCTCTCGAGTGAGATTCCGCCTTCAATAGCTTTTCCATCCCGAGGTATTGTTTCCTCTTGCCCTCTCTCTTCCTCCATTATAATCCCGCACACACATACACACACACAGAAACAAAGCGACGAGAGAGAGCAGCAAAGCAAGATGTACACACCGTTATTAGAAGTAGCCATGATTTGTAAACTCGAGCAAACGAGCCCCCGGGAAAGGGCTGATTCAATAAGTAATGCGATATGAAACCCGCGACCACGACCACGGCTGGTGATTTCGTTCCCTATTACCGTGGCCTTCCTTCCAAAATTGGACGATTGATTGTATTGTGTGGGTTTCGAAGCGTAGAGAGAGGGTGACGACGGGGCGGGACGTTGTCATTCATGTAAAGAACGAAAGGGTGGGTTTTGAGGAGATGAGACGGTAACTTATATCGTGTCTAAGGAGAGAAGTTCGGTGCGAGAGCTGATCGACTGATCGGAAGGAGGGGGCGTGTTGCGACAACCCAGCACGGCGTAGCGTTGAAACAGCAGCAGCTGTAGTGCTTGCGATGCGATGATCGAGGCTACGTCCGGGGCCGGGGAGAGAGAGGGGGTTTCCCGCATAGGGTTGGGTCACGTGCGCGGACTGGTGAAGGAATCCCTGCTTCTTTGACTTGGTGGAATCGCGAGGTGTACAATAGATTCAGGCTTGGAGAATAAGTGTTACTTGTCTGAAGCTTATTGAAATTGACTTTAAATTCATGGAGAAGAAAGAGCTGAACTATTGACCAGTCCCAAACACCAGGCATAGATCAAGGGCATTCCGTAACACAAACCACCATATCATCTAAACGATTCTGATGACTTAGAATCAAGTAATCATATATAAAATACACTTTCATAACCTGAATGTGCCAGGTACCTCGGCATCATATCTTGATGAGAGGCGGACATGGCTCTCTGCCGCTGACGAAGTATGACATGTCCACGCTAAAGTACATGCTATTGATACAGTGCAGCATCTATGCAAAAAGACCACACAACAATATGATGAGACACCTCACCTAGTAGTTGAGGCTCGAGAAACACAAACTGCTGTTGGTCCCTCCAAATCCGAAGCTGTTCGTCAAAGCCACGTCAATACGGCGCTCTTGCGCCTCACCCGGGGCATAATTGCAATCGAATCCATCTGCTAACCGCTCCAGGTTAATTGTTGGAGGCATGATGTTCTGAATCGCACTGTTAGTATTTCCATGACAAAGCTTGTTCGAGTGCGAGAAGAACACGCCTACCTCATTGACTGCGAGAACGACAAAGGCAGCCTCAATGGCGCCAGCACCACCAAGCAGGTGGCCAACAGCACCCTTGGTGCTGCTGATGTTGACCTCTACAGCTTTCTGCTTTCCACCTGGACCGAGAAGCAGAGCTTTGATGGCACTATTCTCCGCTGCATCGCCCACAACTGTTGAAGTAGCGTGAGCATTGATGTAGTCGACAGCGGAGGGCGAAAGCCCTGCGTTCTTGAGTGCTTTTTTCATGGCCAAAAATGCGCCTTCACCATTCTCCTTGGGCGCAGTCATATGGTGCGCGTCCCCGGAACAGCCGTATCCTTTGAGCTCCGCATAAATCCGAGCTCCTCGTGTCTTCGCATGCTCGAGCTCCTGGCAGCAGGGTTAGAACGTGATGTAAAGGCAACGTGATCCCAAGAAGGCTTTACCTCTAGGACCATCACTGCAGCCCCTTCTCCTACTACAAAGCCCTCTCGATCCGCATCGAATGGCCGAGAAGCCTTCTGCGGGTTGTCATTGTAGCTGGTAGCCAGACTGCGGGCCCTAGCGAAACCGCCAACCGCCAAAGGATGGATACAAGACTCCGCGCCGCCGGCTAGCATCACATCGGCATCACCGCACGCAATGAAGCGGGCTGCATCGCCGATTGAGTGTGCGCCTGTGGTGCATGCTGTAGTCGCTGCGTGATTCGGCCCCTAAACGTAAAGTTAGTCGTGATAGGGTATGGGAGGGAGGTTATGTCTGCCAACCATGAGCCCATATCTCATAGAAATGTGACCAGCACCGAGGTTGATCAACAGCTTGGGTACAAACAGAGGCGACACTTTGCGATAACCCTGGCACAGTTTCAGCTGACGTTTATCCTTGATGCTCAACAAGGACACTCACACCCTTTTCATACGCCATCACCGTGTCGTAAATCTCATCAAAGTTACCAATACCCGATCCGAGACATACCCCCTAGACATGATAACTTTAGTAAAACAAAAACAGCACCAGTGGAAGGCTTGACTTCGAGTATGTACCGTTGCTTCCTTCTGTTCAAAAGTTGTTGGCATCCAGCCGGCATCTTCTAGAGCCTCTTCCGAAGCAGCCATTGCGTACTGCGCAAATCGAGCCATCTTGCGCTCATCCTGCCACAGACAATCAGTTGGGGGCTATGCAATAGCCAGAGCAATACTCACGTCTCGGCTTAACCACTCCGAAGCCGTCCATCCGCCTTCGCTTCGAGCCCCTTGCGGCACAACGGCAGCAACCTGACAGGGCACGTCCTTGAACCTAGCATCGCGATGCACGACATTGACGATGCCACAATGACCGTCTAACAGGCGTTTCCATGTTCGACGGATGCCTGCGTCTCAGCTTAGCTAACGAAAAAAAAAAAAAAAAGTTAAAGGGAAGGCTTGGGTCCCGCTTTCGTGTGCAACTACCCTCCTGGGCAAGCAATTGAAGTTGTACTTGACCTTCCCTTTTGGGCATGCCACGAGTGGAGACCGGTTGAAGGGACGCCGCGGAGAAGACGCGGGCGGATTCGATTTCGAATCGAGATGTACTCACCTACCCCCAAAGGTGTGACTGCTCCTAAGCCTGTTACAACGACTCGACGCATGGAATCTTGAAGGAAAAGAGTTATGTCTGCTTGTTTGTTGACCTGTCTGTCGGACTACTCGTCAATGTATGGACTAAATTTCGACAAGGTTTTCGGTAGGGTAGGAAAGACCGAGCAAAGCTCCGCGGTAGGTTATTTCGGAGCTAAATCTAGAGCCAGCAGACCTGCCTGGTACGGCGGGTAGAAAGATGTAACCAATTATTGAGAACTGAAAGTGGGCTCACAAAGACAGTAAATGTTCATTCATGAAGGTACTGTACTCGTAGTAAGGACCGAGCCAAGAATGGAGCAGGAGTGGATGAGAAATTCAATTGAATAATAATCGATGGAATGATCTTTGTGAAATGCCGAAGAGCAACCCGAAAAGGAAGGTTCTCACGACGTCAAAGAAACCAGGCCACAAGGCCGTCAATTTACCTCTCGGGTTCCTCGACACAGCCAATCAGCAGCGCATCTCCTATCGATAAGCCCGTCCACTTCCTCTCCCCGGTATTCATGATGAGGGTCTCCGAGGTCATCGAAGAACGAGGGGAAGATTAATTCTCAGTGCTCTAAATTTCTATAAGAGACGCCGCCCTCGAAGTCTGCTGCATCGAAGCTTCTTTCGTTCGACCCATTTCCCACTGCTCACTCTCCACAGTTCCCAAGAGATAAGCAGAGTTGCCAATTGCGCGATGAAATCCCTCACCTGGGCAGCCTGTCTGGCTTTGGCCGGCACCGCTCTCTCCCACACACACCACGACAATGACGAAACGATCCCGGAGCAGTTGCGCGAGGAATTACTGAAGAAATGGGATCAGGAGGTGGGCCAGCCATCAACCCTTCCCCCTTCTCTTCTTTCTCAACGGTAGATTAATGTTCGACGATTTGTGTAGTTTACCTTCTCCGGCATTGCCAGCTTCGCCCACATGAAGCCTGTCAAGTGTCTCGTCGAACCGGATGAGCGTTACGATATTGCCGTCATCGGCGCCCCCTTCGACACAGCAGTCAGCTACAGACCAGGTAAGCTCCAAACAGCCATCTACACCGCCCTATCTTCCCAATGCCCACATGCCTAAACGCCTCCCTTAAAAACAACAGGTGCCCGTTTTGGTCCCCGTTCCATCCGTGCGGCCAGCGCCCGCCAGATGGCCGGTACCAGCTACAACACCCGCGCAGGAATCAACCCCTACCAATCGTGGGCAACGGTCAAGGACTGTGGCGACATTCCAATCACCCCGTTCGACAATGGGTTGGCCGAGCGGCAAATGTACGAAGCCTTCCTGGAGCTGGGCTCCCGGCCGGCCGTGACCCGCGCTTCCTCCACGTACGGCACAAAGGGGATTTCGGCCGGAAAGTCGAAGCTCGTTACCCTGGGAGGCGATCACAGCGTTGCCCTTCCTGCCCTGCGTGCCCTGTACCAGATCTACCAGAAGCCTATCACAGTGCTTCACTTCGACGCACATCTCGATACCTGGAACCCCGTGCGGTACTCGGCCTACTGGCTCTCGGAGCAGTCGCACTTCAACCACGGCAGCTTCTTCCACAAGGCCAGCCGTGAGGGCCTCATCTGCAATGCGACCTCCGCACATGCGGGACTGCGCACACGACTGACGGGCGTTGACGATAGTGATTACACCAACCCTGGCCCTGAGCAGGGATTCATGCGAATTCACGCAGATGATATTGATGAGCTGGGCCCCATGGGTATCGTGGATCGGATCATGGAGCGCATCGGTCTAGATCCAGAACAACCCGTTTACTTGTCCGTTGATATCGATGTTCTGGACCCGGCGACCGCCCCGGGTACTGGTACTCCCGAACCTGGTGGCTGGACGACCCGAGAGTTCATCCGTATCCTGCGTGGCATCGAGAAATTGAACATCGTTGGTGCGGATATTGTCGAGGTGTCGCCTAGTTACGACAACAAGGGCGAGACCACGGCTCTGGCAGCAGCTCAGGTTGCTTTTGAGATTATCACCAGCATGGTCAAGGCTGGTGCAGGTGAGGATCTGGGTGGGTGGTACGGACGCAAAGCAACGCCCGAGGTCGAAATTGAGGTCGAGGTTGAGGTTGAGGACGTGGCAGTTGAGAAGGAAGTCAAGGACGAGCTGTAAAATGCCGATACATGCGATGACGATGCTGTGTGGGTAATGAGTTAGTGAGGTCGTTTAGCAGTATGATGCAGGCACATCCCAGCAAAAACATGTCCTTGTCAATGGTCGGGCTCATATCATCCTAACTCTTCTCTACATGCAACGCAATCTCGAATGGTAGAATCTGGAATGAAACTTCGGTCATCACTATTGTATCTGTGTTATCTAATTCAAGCCTCGCATGAACGATTTGGGTGAAAATTGCACAGCAAATTGTGATAGGCATGATAACATATTGAGGGATGTGAAAAGAAGAAAAGAACACAGATCGAACCATCAGCCAGCCAAAAGAAGACGCCTCGACTTCCAACGCCAATAAAGACGATGAGAGTTTAGAAAGGAAGTAAAAGGGGGAAAGAGAAGAGAAGGAAAATGATCGGAGAAGGCGGGAGGGAGATAAGTAGACAGTGGACGGGCAATCGAATGAGCACGGAGAGATGAGCAAATCTAGTGGGAAGAGGTCGGAGGGGTTCAAATCGGGGGCCAGTTGTACACGGCATCAATCGGAAGACGAGCTGATGGGCGATATGGTAGAGTATATGTTGGTGACCCTGTTCTTGCTTAGGAAAGCCCTGGGCAGTTTCCCCGGGTGCAACCGAGTCACGGCGGGTCTTGCACTCGGGTGTCAGGGCTGCGGGTTGCATGGATGATATTCACTCAATGATCGGAGACAAAAACACATAAAAGTCTCAGGTTAGACGGTGGTCGAGTAAGCCAGCCCCTCCTCCGGGTGAAATTCCCAAAACTCCGTATTGTGAAATAAAACAATCCGTTCCTCCAAAATCATACGACATGTCTGTGATGCCCCGACGACAAGTGTGCGATCCTCTGGCGCGTACCAGCCTGCGATGTAGGAGACGTGATTGTTTTACAATACCACACACTTCTTAGATTTCTTGGGCGCAGGCTCCAGGGCGGCAACGATGGCCTTCAAACCGATCTGTCAGCTTCCTCTATATGCAAAATCACGGGCGCTGGCAGAACGAACCTCATCAAAAACGTCCTTGAGCTTGTACTGCGTCAAGGCGGAACACTCCACGTATTTCACAGCGCCCAATTCTTTAGCCATCCGGTCTCCGTCTTCCTTGCGAATGGGCTGCATCTTTTGACGAGAAAGCTTTTCCCGAACAGCGGGATCGTCGCGCAAATCGGTTTGGGTGCCGACGATTAGGCAAGGAACACCAGGGCAGTGGTGGTGAACTTCAGGGAACCATTTTTCGCGGACGTTTTCGAAGGAGGCGGGGGAAGTGACGGAGAAGCAGACGAGAAAGACATCGGTTTGGGGGTAGGAAAGAGGACGGAGACGATCATAATCCTCCTGACCGGCGGTATCAAAGAGACCCAGGGTGTATGGCTCATCGCCAATCCTAATGCGCAAGAATGACAGTCATCGAGTCAGCCATCTATCGAGGAAGAGTCGCAATGTGATCATCTTGGATCCGAAGTCAGGAAGAGAGAGCGACAATGACGCGATCGATGACATGATGCAGCGCATTTCACCCAAGAGCGTTCAAGGTGCTCGCCGTGCATGGGGGCAGAGTGCAACGACTTACATGACCGTGACAGCATAGTTGTCGAAAACGGTAGGAACATATTCCGAGGGGAACTTGTTCGTTGTGTACGAAATTAACAGGCAAGTCTTTCCAACCGCACCGTCACCGACGACAACACACCTGCAAGATAGAAGAGACACAGATTAGCAGGTCGCCCAAGGAAGAGAAGGCCAAAAGCCAGCACACTTAAAGAAAGGTGGCAGAGGCTTTGGGAGGAAGAGAAACGGGGGGTAAAATGGGGGGGGGATGGTGGGAGGGGATGAAAGAGCGGGAAGGGGATGAGAATCGTGGAGGCAAAAGGAATAAAGAGAATAGTAGAACGTACTTGATTGTGGCTACAACCATATTGTAAACCTTGGGCTACCCAAGAAAGTCACCAAAGAGAATGTGTGAATGTTCAGGTGAAAGTTGTTGGAGTCCGAGAGGAGGTGGACAGGAGGAAAGGTAAATGCGGTGAACAGGGGGGGGAGGACCGTGAGGGGAGGGGGGAGGTGGATTAGAATAAGAGAGATTGATTAAAAGGGAGGCAGAACGATGAGATGGTAAGGGAGGGAGGTAATCGGAAAAGAGTAAGGCGGCTAAGATAGGACAGAGAAGAGGTCGCAGGTGATGGGGAAAGACAAAGAGCTTAAGTGTGTAGGTAGAATGGGGAATCACAAATAGTAACTTATCGGTGGGTGTGCGATGTGGTGACAGTTGGACGGTGAAAGGATAATAGGAATAGGAATAATGGCAGGGTAGGTGGAGGAGGAGGAGGAGCCTGAGGAAGGGAGGGAGAGACGGAGAGAACGGAGAGACGGGGGAGAGAGACAGAGAGTGAGTGGAGGGAGGGAGGAGGGAAGGGAAGGAGATGTGGATGGATGGGATTGAATGGGCTGGGCTGGATGGAGTTGGTGAGGGCCGGGAGGGAGACTGAAGCCAGCCAATGTGGGAGAGCTGCAACGGGGCAATCCGCACCGTTAGTAGCCAGTACTTAGTAGTGGGTAAGTTAAGGTAAGGTAGATAGGCTAGGTAGGTAAGGCAGTTAGTTGTTAGAGCTCTATTCAATCATTTAGCTCCTGCTGCTGTACAGTACATACCTAACTTAGCTCAGTCATTGAGGAAACCTAAAGAAAGCAGAACAATAATCTTTCTTTTTCTCTATCTGCTCAAATGTCGATATCTTTGACTCCCATTCTCTTCTTCTTTTCCTATCTCTTCATAATCTCCCGTCCTACTAAAGAGGACAATGAAACATAAGCGCTGTCGCCTTCGGTGGTCAAACCATCACATAAAATTCAGGCCCCGAGGTCAAATGGCTATAACTGCCACGCATGTCTTCCAGGGGTTTGTTCATGACAAAACACAGAAATCACCAGAATGGACCCAGTCAAATCATCATTACTCAACGAAGCACCTTAGCCCTTGGACGGAGCTTCCTCCGCATCGTCCTCAAGTTCTTGTATGAGCGCTACATATGCTATGTTGACAGTATCTGTTACAGCCCTGCAGACTGGCTCCAAGGGCTGTCGAGCCGCGTCCTGAATCCTCACAGAATCATGTGCCAGAAGGTGATCAAAACCAGAGGGATTTTGCGACAGTTCTGGCAGAGAAAATAAGAGGCGACAATCTGCCATGCAGGAGAGGCACAAGTTAGAGAAAGGATTGATAGGGAGTCGCAGGTTAGAGCAGCTACCCTGGCTGAAACACAAGCAGCCAGGATTCTGAGATTTTGATCGACGAGACCGAGCAACAAGCCGTAGCAGACAAAGCCTTGCTCTTGGAGAAGAAAACAAAGCATCTATAGAGACTACAAATTACTACCCAGACATTATTTGTCTGTACAAACAGCGCCGAGGCGATGGATACCGCCCGTAAATCTAGCTCCGGCTAGCCTGGCCTACAGTGCTTTACCAAGTAAGGTACTGATATTACCGCCATCTTGATCCAAAAAGGTGAGATAGACGAGACAAATTGGTATGAAGCGGTATGAGACAGTACGAATAATCCACTGCTTTTGGTGACACTAGTCCTGTCTGGGCCAATTGCAGCTGACCGCCTGGGCGGTCACAGCTTTGGCTAGACCACTGCAGTGTTAGTCGGGTCACATTCATCTGGCACTGCGCATGGATCCGTTCGACTCCTACGCGCCGAAGGAGAACAAATAATCGTGAGCAACGACCCCTTATTTTACATGAAGAACTCTGCTAGCACATGAGAGAATGTCAATAGATACAGACACAGCCAACCACACTTTATTCGAGGACCGCCTGCCTATTTGGATATTATCTGTAGTATAGCGCATTGCCCTCCCAACTTCCAACATGGCTACTCACTACTATAGATCCTCGCTATAACGAACCTTTTGGGCTGGGATTTTCCGCCCCCCATACTAGGTTCGTTATTTTCGCCATATAACGAAATTCGTGAGTCAAGACTATTCCTACATACAAAATTCGCTATATAGAGGAAGAGTTATACCTAAATAATAAGGATTTATACCTATTTAGGAAGGTAAGATTTTATATCACGTGGTTGGTTTTTCCAAGGAGGGGTTCTCAGGAAATATATATATATACATATATACACCAAAAACCTATATTCGCTACAACGAAATCCTCGTTATAACGAATTGGTCGGCCTTTCCAATTGATTCGTTATAGCGAGGGTCCACAATACTCGAATAATTCAGCAAGACGCTAAGTTTCATGACTTCCCGCAGGTCACCCCAGGATACTAACTAAGTCACTAGTAAATTGACTAGGCTGAGTGGTGTAAGGAGTAGCTACTCTGTCTATCCATCGACTTCACCCTCCGCGGCGCTGCCGCCCCCTCAAGCCTACTACGGCAAAATCTCTTTGTAGTGTCCCAAGTCTCATGAGGTGTATGTATGCAGGCTGACTCGCTGATAAGTACAAATATTCACAAAAGGTCATCTAATCTAATCATGTCATCTATACAAATTGTAATCAAAAGCAATCGCATTGTCGTTCTGCCGGTGACCATTCATTTCTCACCACTGCAGCTTAGGTGTCATAACTTCATATACAATTTACCCCTGCAAAGCCAATTCAAGCCAGGGTAACGGTCGTGGCGGCCCCATACCATGACCAGTTGATTGATCAGGGTGGTCCGATGTAACGGCCGGGAGGTGGCCGCCTGTTGATCCCTAGTACACTAGGGTTACCGCGCGTTGGCGCCGTTGGCGCGGAGATCGACAGGAAAGATGCTAGGCGACAAGCATTTTTCGCTGTTCCCCGCGAGAGCAGTTTCGTATGCATGTGTCTATACATGCACAACAACCATCATAGACACCTCCTAACGCTCAGATCGTTTTGAGTGTGCCTCAGATTCAGGCTCATCCGCTTCTGCTTCTGCAGGAATGGGTTCATGAGTCGGGGATTCGCCCATCTGCGCCCGTTAGTCGTAATAGCGCCACAGGGTTTCATGGTGACATACCTTATCGAGCTGATAATTGGACATGAGAAGGCTCAGGGGGATCAATGGGATGGTCGCAATCAGTGCCAGAACCAAGAGTTTGTTCATGGTTTCCTGATAGGCTCGATTGATGGCCACTCGCGCGGGCGAGCCCATAGGGTAAGAAAGTGCTTTGGTCAACTTTCCAAATATTTCACCAACATCCGCCTTGGCCTCGTCGGGAAGGTACTGTTGTAGTTTGCGTGGAATGTGATGTGTCCAGATGGCACCCGAAATGGCGGCTCCTACGGCACCGCCCATTTCCATGGAGGTAAGGAACATTGCCGTGGCGGCTGCAACATCCTGGTGGCTGGCGGAGGCCTGAACTCCCAGTTGGACAGGTACATTGAGTAGCCCACCGCCCGCACCGACTATCACCTGGGTTCCCAAAATCAAAGCTGGTGAGCTCCCCTCTCTCCGGTAGGTCAACATTAAGAATATCCCAGAAATATATATCACGCAGCCAATCGTGACGTAGACGCGGTAACGCCGTGTATATTTGATCAAGATCGAAACTCCAAAGGCGGCAATAGTGGATGTGAAAGCGAACGTTTGGGTCACACGACCCGCTGTCGCTACATCGTAGTCCTGGACGACCTGGAGATAAGAGTAGAGGTATGGCTGAACAGAAAAATAGAATGCCACTTCAAAAATGTTAGTTTGGTCGGGCATTAGCCTCGGGGTAATTCGCGAATATTGACATACTGAAGTAGAAGAAAGCCAGAGTACAACCTGCCAGAGCAGTACGCTGTTTGAGGAGGTGCAAGGAAAGCAAGGGCTTGGGAGCCAACTTCTTCGAGCTTTCCCAAGCAGGTAAAGCGCAAAGGCAGACTATACCAACTATGATCATGGCGATGATGCTGTTATTCTTCCACCCGTTCTTGGAATTGGCCGCCAGTGTCAAGGGAACCAAAATCAAGGTCACTGCCGCGGACAGCAGAATCAAGCCGAACATGTCAAGATCATACCAAGTATGGCGAACAGCGGCAATGAATCCACGACGGTGAGCGCTCCTGGGCTTGATGAGGTTCAGCCTCTTGGCCTTGCGCTGGTTCAACAAGAGTGAGAGTGCCAAAGGAAGAAACGAAGCGGGCAGAATAATTGACCACATGCCGTAGCCCCAGCGCCATGAGGTATGCTCAAGCACCGCGTTTGCAATCGTCGGCCCGATCCAGACTGTCACTAAAAAGGGAAGCTCCGGCAGGAGTGCAAGAAGTGCACGGTTGAGGAGGCTACTGCTGTCGGCGATGAAGACCTGTTGCAATATTTGCAAGCCAGTTGAACCGGCGGAGTAAAAGATTTGGGCTGAGGCGTATGTCTGAACATTGGTCGACGCAGCCATCTGGATGTATCCGAGAACGTATATCAATATACTGACGCAGAAGGCCTCGAAACGGCCGAAAACATCAGCGACTTTTGCCATGGGTGGCTTAATGACAGCTGCGATGGACGGTTAGCCAAAACTAGAAGTATCCAGCCTCAGAGAGTGTACCGACCATTAACGACATTCTGAACAACAAGAACAGTTGAGATCAACGAATGTTTGCTGAAAGCGCTTGTAGCATATGCCGATAGGGACATTACGGTTTGACCCTCAAGTGATGTACAAAATGCCATGAGAAATATACTTCAGAATAGTTAGTACATATGCGCCATCAAGTTCTCAGTCCCCTTCCACAAACACCAGAGGCACAAACCTGATATATGCTATGATCAAAGACCGTGTGGTCCAGGTCAGGTTGATAGCTTCAATCTTCCTGACACCCTCCTGTACAGAATCCCCCGAGGACTCTACATCGCTGTCATGCCCGCCTGCCTCATATCCTGCTTGGAGAAGATGTTCTCCTTCCTCGTCGTTGTATTGGTCCATTTGACTGATTGTGCCATATGAAACTTTCGAGCGGTAATCAAGTAAGGGCATTGCGTCTGTGCCGGGTTGAATGATGTATGATCGAGGGGCGGAGTCGCACTAAGGGTAGGGTCCATTTACTGCAACCGACCGTGGGAGACTTGGTTTGTAGTTGTGAATAGTTGTGAAGGCGAAGATAGGATGTGGATAGGAGGTTGAATAGTGTTAAAGCTGAAGCATCGACATGGAAGGGAAAAGGCGACAAGCTGACGCTTGCGAGGCTGCGCGGACGGAAAGGAGTCTCTGCGACCTGAGCCAGCCAGATCCACCGACAAGAGAAAAAGCAATCAACAGGCGACCAACGAAAAGGAGGAATCCAAGTAGCGCAGAGACTAGGAATAAACCCCGATGAGGGGTATAGGTCAGAACGGCAGAGCTAATAGACTGGTGGACTGAATCAAGGTCAGATGGGTTTGGGTACCAGTCCTGCGTTAGGTAACCAGATGCAGACAGTCAAGTCAATACGCAGCGCAACGCGTGGATCGCCAGATCTATGGTGCAGGAGGAAGCACAAGGGGCTGAGCTTCAAGGCTTCCAGTCACAAATCAGACCCTCACGATGATTCACACCACTGACCACGATCGACAGGCCGCACTTATGCAAGTCGGTGTGGGAAGCTAGGACTTAGCCTATGGGCTGAACGCCCGTGGCCCAGAAGGGAAGTGTGGCACCCGTAGATTGCTGCAGCGAATAGATACTGGGATGAGAGATGGAGAAAAAAAAGAATTCGAAATTTGCTTCTATCCAGCACCAATCGCTAGGTCGAATGCGGGCGGATGTTGCCTGTCGGGCAAGTTTAAGTGGTGACAAAAGTTTGTGCCTTGCGCCCCAGGCAGTTCATTGACAGATACTTGGGTTACACACGGCGGACGACCAAGGTAGAGAATAGATAATAGAGATGGAGGTGGGGGGAGGGGCAGATATCGAGTGTCGACAAGGGCCGGTGAGTACCCCTGGCCTTACTGCAGAGAAGGCTTCGACTGCAGGAGTTCACCCCAAAGAGGCGTGGTGGTTGCGGAAGGTGGGTGGGGATGGGAAGGAAGATAGTGTGGCAAGTAACCGGGATGTCGAATATTACCAGTGTAGGAGAACATCAGATATGATAAGATCACCTGGTCCGGCGGTCGGACCGAGCGGCAGTGTGAGGGGAGGGGGGTGGAGGGAAAAGCCGGGATCAGATGATGGTGGTGGTGGTGGTGGTGGTGGTGAAGGATAGATGGTCAGGCTGATCAGTGGTCCGTGGAGACTTAAGGGAAAAGTGGTTCTCCGCTACTCATCGTTTTCTTTTTTTGCTATTTGTATATAGCTTGGTTGGTAGCAACTGGCTCTTATACGTTGTAGTCAAGATGGATCTTCATACTTACCAGAAGATACAGTACTGTCCCTCCTAGTAGGTAGGAACTATTCAGGTAGTGTGGATGAATGTTTAGAGCGGGCAAGTCATCCATCCATGCATCCCTCTTTTCCCCAGTCTGACCGCCTGGCTGGCTGGCATTCTGCTTGGACAATTTGGAAGCAAGAATGAAGTTGCGCATCGCCGCTCCATCCACTTCCGCCCCCTTGCATGCGTGCAGACACGACAAACCTGTTTGGAACTGGATTTATCGACCCAAAGGCCTCTGTGAAGCGATGTTGATTGGAATGCTTTGCACCTCTCTCTGCATGACTCGACCGCGTTGCCCAATCCAAGGAGAGGTATTGTCATCTCACCGGGCTCCTCATGCGGCTTCGACCCTTTGAAAAGTGCTTAGCATGAAATTCCACGTCCTCTTTCCCCCCAACCCGACCTTACCGGTACATCACTGTTGAATGAAGCCCGGACCCATTTCCTGATTGGGTTCAAGAGATACAAAGCCCGCCCGGGGAAGAATGGATCATGGATGACTCGGCAGCAACCGCGTCATCCAACCCGACCTGTCATCGGAGGCCGTTCTCCCACCACCCCACCAACAGACCGAGCAGGGTGAGTGAGGTACGAGGATCAGATGAAATAGCGCGCTCACGGATCACCTGCGAGTTATTATAGTATTCTCCAATAACTCCCTCCCGCCCAAGCCGCTGTGAGAACAATGAAGAGATACCCTCAGATCGCGAAGGTGGTAGGTGCACTTCGACCTGTGACGAGCCTTAAAAATGAACCCCACTCGTTAGTCCATCAATGCTTGCAAGCCAAAATAAAAGAAAAGAAAGAAAGTCTCAAGTTTGGCAAAGTCCTGTCTCGGGGATTAATGTTTCCTCTGTACGACCTGGCGGTGATATCTAGCGTGACTCTGAGGGTTGCTCGGCGATTTCGAGGAAAGCATGGCCAGTTCCCAGCACTTAAACCACGAACAGAGAGGGCATTTAATGAAGGGCATTTGGCTTTGCGTTACTGAGAACAGATGGCGCTCCTGTCACGACTACTTGCCATTGATTCGTGTGTTGCCCACTATCATGCTCACAAATTCATTTGTACGCTGAGCTCCATCTGATGGGTATCTTGGTTCTGTTCACGTGGTTTGTCTGTTTTCGAACTCATTACTCTCGAACAACAGTTAAGATTCCCGGACTCCGTTTTCATCGATGCATATATAGTCAGGTCGGAACAAGCCTGTTCAAACAGGTCTTTTCGAATCCGTCTCGATTCATTGCGATGTCTCGCATCAAATGGGCCTGGGGGAATGCCTCGGAAAATGAGTTGCATACCTCACAAAATTATGCATATCAGACGGCCAATCAGCTAGGTACTGCAAGATTCAAGCTCATGGTAGGGCCGTCAAAATGCATAACTACAGCGAGAGCATCCTGTCCTGCTGACTACACAGCCACAACGCATGCTGCATCACTGACGCTGGTTGGCGACAGACCTACCATTTCTCTTCACAGGCACATCCATGTGTAGTAGTACCCTTCCTGACAATATGAAGAAGGTTGAAGATTTGTGCTTCTGGAGATACATTGAACAATATGTCTATGGACAACGTCAAGATTACATTCAACCACAGATCTGGTGAAACCCCTTACTCAGCCGATTCGATAATCAAGTGGCCGAAGTTGACTACCAGATCCTCCTTTTCACCCGAGGGTTTCGCTGCATAAAGTCCAATCCAAAGGTCTTGCACGTTTGTGTCTTCGAAGAACCAGGTCACCTCTCGAAGGGGAGACTTTTGAACGCCCTCAACCAGATAGATCCATAAGCTGTTATCCGACTCTCGGACAATCTCCAGGGTGGCCGCTCCACCACCTGACGGCACAGGCTGCAGGCTCCAGTCCGCCCAACGGTCCTTGGCGACAGTGCTCAGGTGTGGCCTGCCGTTGGCAAGCTCAATACCGGACTTGACCCATTTTCGAGTTCCATCAGCACCATTGAGGACCAGGATCACGCCTCCCTGGTCGTACTTGTGTTTCCAGAGGGCATTGAATGCGACCCTGGCCCTCTTGAAGGATTGCACTGGCACGCTTTTGTACAGGATGGGTGCGTTGAAAGACTCTGTGGAAGGAGGCTTGGCCCAAATGTCGGTTGAAGGGCTCGCTTTAATGGAGAACTCGGCGGGGAGGTTCCCGTCACCAGGAACCTTTTCGGAAGAGTTTGCGAATTTGAAATCCGTCATGATCGCGCGCAGTGTGAGATCCGATGTGGGTAGCGTTGAAGGAGATATATTAGATCAAAGCGGAAGTCTTGAAGTGCGGGAGCGGGGGAAAGATGAAGTGTACTGCGATAATTGATATAAGGAAACAATGAAGATATGAGTAGCACGGTTAGGAAGACCGGGAACCTCAATATGAATAAGAGGCCGGAGGACCATGGCCCAGACCCTACGTCACTTGGAGGGGGAGCAGCTCCACCGTCCAGAAGGTGCAGGGTCAAAGCTGGAGAAGCATCCCAAGGGATCATTGCCCTCTGCGGTAACCTATGACAGCGATGACTCCATCTCCGGTGGGGTTATCGGAGCTGTCGGCGAGGGTAGGAAGCACGGCAGACACGAATGTTGCTGCTGCTGCTGCTGCACTAGCCAAAGTAGACAACTCTGTACCATACTCAAAGAGGCAGATCGATAAGCATACTAGGTAGGTGGCTTCGTAGTGCAGCACCTACGAACTGCAGGCGCTGCAGAGTAGTGGGCAGATACTATAAGTACAGTAGTGCCGCAATGCTCCTTCCTGTAACCGATAGAAATCGATTAGATAACTATGAGTGCTCGTTTCACAAGGGAGATGACATAAGCGAGACCTTCTCCTAGAAGGCGGCGTTGCGTTGTCGATCGGTCAGAGAATCTCCAACATGGCAACCAGCGTCAATTCGATCGATGCTGATTTGGCACGACGTATTCCAGGCATGGGCTGATTGATATTATCCAACTCTTTGTGATGTTTCTCCTTCGTTATGTCTGCCCGTCTCCTTCACCCAGATGAGTATGAGCTAGAAACTCGCTCTTCAGCGGACTCTCAGGAGAGCTTCAATCTCGATGACGCCGATTTCGAATCGCAGGTGCCTACGCGACCCAGACGGATGTTAAGAAAGGTTTCTTTCCTATCGAGACTGTTCTCTTCAACCTATTCTGGCTATCGTAGCCTGAAGCCTTCGCGACCGTTCCTATCGGCCTCAACACGTCGTGGTTGCTACCGCCGCCTGCTGTTTCGCCGCTGGTGCCTTCGCCTCCATGCCACCGCAGGTATCATCCTTGCGCTTATCGTCCTAACGTCAATCTTCCGACCTTCGTATACTCGGTTGCCGCCACATTATTCGTCTCTTCGGGATGCAGTATCGCAATCGACTGAACCCGGCCGTGGAAATCCCCGCAACGAGAAAGTCTTCATCGCTGCGAGCTTGTACGACCGCGATGGCGAACTGGCGCAGGGACACTGGGGAGATAGTGTGCTACGGCTAATTGACCTGCTTGGGCCAAACAATGTCTTCTTGAGTATCTATGAGAATGACAGCGGCGCGGACGGGGAGCGGGCGCTTCGCGGCCTGGAGACACAGGTCACATGCAAGAAATCCATCGTATTCGAAGAGCATCTCGATTTAGACTCTCTTGCAAAAATCGTGGCGCCCGATGGGTCAAGGAGAACGAAACGGATTGAATACTTGGCTGAAATTCGAAACCGAGCCCTACGGCCTTTGAGCGATCAGCATGATGTGCAATACGACAGGCTCTTGTACTTGAATGATGTTGCCTTCAACCCGGTCGACGCACTTCACCTCTTGTTCTCTACAAATGTAGCGGACGATGGCGTTTCTCACTATCGCGCAGCCTGTGCTATCGATTTCATCAATCCTTTCAAGTTCTATGACACGTACGCGACGCGGGACCTGCAGGGTTACAGCATGGGGCTTCCTATCTTCCCTTGGTTCTCAACTGCGGGAGAAGGTCAAAGTCGACAGGATGTGCTATCAGGAAAAGATGCCGTGCGGGTTCGCAGTTGCTGGTCAGGCATGGTGGCTTTCGACGCTCGGTTCTTTCAGCAATCTCCGAAAAGCCAAAGCTACAAGGGTGTTGAAACACCAGTTCAGTTTCGTGCTTCACATGAATTGTTCTGGGAAGCGTCTGAGTGCTGCCTCATCCACGCCGATATTCAGGAACCTTTGGCGAATGTGGAAGATAGCGGCATTTATATAAACCCATATGTCCGTGTCGCATATGATCCCCATACTCTGTCTTGGCTTGGGACGACTCGACGATTTGAGAGACTGTATTCCTTGATTCAAAATCTGATCAGTCGCCTTGCTGGATTACCATGGTTCAATCCTCGCCGAGATGAGATTCCGGGACAAAATGTACAACGGACAGTCTGGGTTCCAGACGGAAAAGAAGATGGCAGTGGCTCGTTCCAGACAGTTGATAGGGTTGCAGGGAAGGACGGCTTCTGTGGACGCCCAGGGCTGCAGGTAATTGTTGAGCATCGCGAAGAGGGACAAAAGGGGTGGGAAACCATCCCGATGCCGTCTTGAGGTTGTCTTTGCTGAAAGTTGGCACGTATCAGTACATGAATACTATTCTTGCTGTGCTAGTCCAATTTGCTGTCGTGAATCTCCACCGCCTGCTAATGCGTTTGTTTGCATCGAGGGTCCTGATTTGAGAGCCTCGTCTCCCCGCCTCTCCATTAGCCCAAGAGATATGTAACGCGCGCAGCAAAGTCTCTACTGCAAACGCTTTGAAGAACTCCGGTGAATCACCCAAAGATTCTCCCGTAGCTCAATCCGTAGCTTTCACTCGGGGAGATTACTCATTTCAGCTTCACTTTTATAGATACCCCGAGCCGTTGGATGCTATGGTGATCATGCCTTCTCTTCTCGTGCCGAGATGTCACCAGCTTCCTCCTCCGCCTTGGACTTTTGTAAACCATCACTCCTCTGGAGACATGGAGTTCGCCAACCGTGTCACAGGAGTTATCTACGGGGTGCTTGATTCTCTTATGGATCGGGCGTCCTTAGCCAGCCTTGAGGAAAGCCAGCATGCCCCGAAAGCTGCGAAGTGGCCGACAGTGAAGGGCTCTCGTCTCCATCCGGTCCGTCCAACTCTTCCTTCTCGACTTCCTCCAGTCTCGCTTGTTTCAAAGTTCGCGCTCTGCTTCCCGCCTGCTCCAGTTCCAGTCTGACCATTCCTTTGAAATACTAACAAGTAGTGGAAAAATCAGCAGGCTTCTCAAATCTCACCCGGCAACCAGAGGACCTCCCTCGTTGACTCGGTCAACACACTCAGGGCGTCTTCTCTTGCTCTGGTTTCACCCTCTACATCTCCCTCCTCTCGTTCCCCTTCCATCAGACCCCAGAACACATCCCCTAGCTTGTTTACCCAACAAGACTACACCGAAGAGAAAGACAACAAAACAGCGAACATGTATCCCGTCGCTGACGTGGACGATACCGCCGGCTTCATGGCTGCTGCGCGCGCCTGGAAGCCGGAGAGAGACTACACCTCGCCCGCTCAGGTTGAGGATGTGTCTAATGACAAGCAAGGTGGTGAGGATAATTCCGCCAACGCTTTGGATTACAACGCGACTGCTGGCGATGACGACTTCGGTAGGTCACTCACACTTCAACCTGAGAGCCACACAGACTGATTTTCACCTGTGCATCCAGTTGGCATCCCCGGTGATGATGCTTTTGACGGATTCGCTCCCCCCAAGTCCGATGCTGGAGATTTTGAAGCAGGACCCGAGACTCAGAAGTCGGTCACAGATTGGGACGGAGCTGACAACACTGTGAAGCAGCAGCAGCAGCAGCAGCAGCAGCAGCAGAAGCAGCATGTTACTGCTGCTGTCGCCGCCAGCTTGCCTGTTACCCATACCCCCTCGGAGGAGGAAGATCGCGAGAACCTCACTACCTTCAAGTCGTGGGGTCCTCCCGCTCCTCGTGACAAGCCCGGTACTGCCCCTTTGCCCACTTCCTTGTCCCCAAATGAAGACTAACACCCTGTTTATCTTTCAGCTGCTCGCATCCGTCGTGTTATCATCCAGGGTCTTCCCACTGCCTGGTGTAGCCCTGCCAAGGTCCTTTCGCTTGTGCACGGGGGTGCCATTGACAGCATCAACGTGACTTCCTCTGGCACTGCCCACATCTTGTTCTGTGAAGCCGATGCCTGCAAGGCGTTTTATGATAAATACCCCAACGGCATCGATCTGGACCGGGAGAAGAAGCTCACCGTGTTTGTGGAGATGGGCCAGGAGGTTGACGTTGTCAGCTCCAGTCTCAGTTTCAGTCTCTCCGTCGGGGCCACCCGTGTTGTTCGTGCTGTCGGAGCCCAGATGGATGTCAACATGGAGCAGTTGGTCAAGCTGGCGACCTCCAAGAACGGCAAGCTGGAGAAGATGATTGACACCTACGTTCCCGGTGAAGTAAGTTGTCTTCCCTTGAGCCTGCAGTTCCCTCAACTGATCAAACCGACTCCAGGCCCGCAGCATCGTGTTTCGCTTCTGCAGTGTCGACGACGCCGTCCGCTTCCGTGCCGCCTTCGTCCGCGAGATTGAATTCGAACAGTGCAATGTTCAGTACGCGGTTGATCCGTAAGTGAGAACCTATCTGCACCTTGGCACATAAGGTTTGGGCTTCTGGCTAAGAATACACAGATGCGAGACTGCGACTGGCTACCATGTGGACTAGATGTCTGATTGTTGTGTGTCCACGGATCTGCCATGATCTATATTGTGGATCTTCTGCAGTACACGCGGCATTTCAAGCGTTCTACGATGTCCCAAGGACAATTTCTTTCTTCGTGTTGTACATTAAGGTGGCTTCTGGCCCATGACTATTACCGAGTTCTATGAAAGCAAGCGCCATCAATGCAGCTAGCTCATATGTCATATCCAGACATAGGAATATGCAAAGATGAGAATCATCCGCTGCAGTTATATCCAACTGTGTAGCCTTTTTAATTGAAGTTGGAGATAGCTGCTCAACACGCCCTACTATTATCCGTTGTAAATATACTATGCAGGTATAACTCCATCACCACAACACCACCCACCAAAGGAAAAGAAACCGAGCAACACGCACCCCAAAATAAGTATCTCCAGTCACTCCCCTTCCCCTTCTCACTCACCTGATCACCGCCCCTCCTCTACGCCTCAGATCAAACCAACCAGCTATCACAATATTTAATACACAACCATTACACCCAGCACACACGATACCCCTTTGATTACCATACACAACGCACCACAGAGTACGTATCCGTATCCGTATACGAAGTACGTAACCAACAATACCACGTTACACTCATCCGTCGGATAAACACTGCCCTCAACCTTAAGCTCCGAGGCCTCTACCCCGAAACCCTCGGGGTTTGTATACAGTGACAAGCGCCGGAATCGAAAATCGGAATGGTACTCGAAAGAAACGACGCCTCCGACTCTTCGGGTCAGCAATCCAACGCGCCATGCTATATCCGAATTACTTTTGTCTGCAACTTACGTACAGTACTCAGTCTACTACGTACAGTACTGCATGAATAAGTTTACCGCCGACAAAATCGGAGATAGTAGGCGAAGTTGGGCGTTTCCGAAACACTTTGTTGAGTAGTTACGTAGTAAGGCATGAGTAAGGCATGAGTAAGACAGGCAAGTCAGTTAACCCAGCAAAGCCAAAGTCCGCACAGCCAGCCAGCCAGCCAGCCAGCCAGCCAGCCAGCAAGCAAGCAAGTGAGTAAGTGAGTAAGTGAGTGAGTGAGTGAGTGAGTCGAACGAGGTTCAGCAAGAACGACCACAATTCCCCTCGGCCAAATCTGGCACGGAGTAACAGACCAGATTCTACCGTGCCTGCGCTGGCTCAAGACCCTCAAAATCATACAAACTCCAGAATACCTAAATGAGAAGGCCTCCTACCTACTGGACGGGTACGAGAGACCTCCGAAAAGTGCGTGCTTTTCTAAAAGTGATTCCTGCTGGTTAAGTGTGTTTGGTCCGAGATCCGTCCGGCGCTGATGGCGGCGATTGCGGCGGGCGGGCGGGCGGGCGGCGGATTTTGATTCCTAGATTTGGAGGGAGTACGAAGAGAAGACCGGTACATACACAGGACAGTTCACTAAAGCCAAACTCTACTTTGAGATAAAAGAGAGTTTTCTTTCTTGTGTGCTTGTGTGCTTGTAAGCTGTAGTGCTTTTAGTACAGTACACACATACTCTGGATAATGAGATTTAACGGTAGTTTCGCATACTCCCACATCCTTCATAAAGGGGTTTGTTCATCAGGGGTTATGTTGGACGCAATTAAATGGCTATCTATCACTAGCAATTTCCGTTCATTCAACGGACAAGGGAATCAATCAAGTTCGACTCCGGTTCTAAGTGGGCTGGCTGGCTTGCTAAAGGTACAACCTGGCAACAACTGCTAGCTAAGTGAAGGCGGGTCACACCCGTCACTTGCCTGGTAAGGTCACCATTGACAATTTGACAGTAACCGTGACTTAACCGCTCGGTCGTTTTGCCCTCGGTTAGCTCTACCTGACTCGGCCATAACTGGAGTCGGCCACCAAAAGAACCTTTTGACTTATTTTTCTTCCCCCCCGCCGTCTTGCCTGTTCTCGCTAGGATAGGCTTGTGCTAGGGACATGGGTTCTCCAACACTCACTCGATAGGCAGGCTAAAAGGGAAAAAGAAAAATTTGCGCACGCCAAATAGTTGGGGTTGTTTTTCTTTTTTTGTGAATTGATTTTTCTTTCCTATGCCGAGTTTGTATCATCTCTCCGGAGACTGTAGCAAAGCGTTAGTTCTCCCTGCGATTCTAGGCTAAGACGTTGTGTAGAATCGAAGTCGGAGACAGACTCTAATCTCGGGGTCAAAATATCCACATGGATCTGACTGGCGCTTGCTTGATCTGCTCCTAACCAGCCTTACTGGATAGGTGTAGGGATGCAGCAGCTTCGTTTGCGTTGCGCTCATGCATCGTTGAATAATAGGCAGTGCCGCAGTCCTGTCAGTCTAGGCATTTGCGGAGGCTAGCCGGCTCCAACGAGGGAGATCACCATACCAAATGGCCTGTTCGTCTGTCAGTCATCTCGTTCTCACTTCTTACTAAGGACTAATGCACTGTAAACTAGTCTACTAGCTCAGACTAAGGGCAATCTATTCAGTCCTACCAGATGAGGTAAATGCAGGCTAGTTTGCACGCACGTCTACCGGCGTTAGTCAGTGCCAGTTTGAAACGAGGCTCCACCGAAGAGGAGTGGCAGTGATGGGAAGATGATAGGCGTAGTAACACTGTAGCCTGGTGGTAGTCAAGTTAGTGATGATGACGATTGAAAATTATGGTAGTGTCAATCGCCCGTGGCTTCTAGCAACGTTGGTTGTACTGGAAATCGAAATTTCCCAATTCGAAAAAGACCGGAACCACAGGGTCAGGGAACGAGTGACCGACCAGAGCACCATTCAAGTCAACCCAAATTAAACTGTAACAAGGCGCGGATAAGGCAGGCCGAGATCCGGTCGAGGGACAGACCCAACACTAAGCTATCATTGGAGTGGATACCGTGCGGAGATCGCCGACGATGAGGAACAAAGAGGTGTTACGTTAAATTTTGTCCCCTCTGCTGCCAGTGGGGTCGTCGGTCTGTGAAGCCTGACGATCGCGACCGGAGTGGTAACGGACTCGACGAGAAGACACGACATTGATCGCTGGAGGGTGATTGTTAATCTATAGAGACGGCTGGCTTCATCGACCGTCCATGGTTTCATCGGGACCCGGTGGTGGTGTTACTGAAATGGGAACCGCGCAGCAGAAGTCCTCCGTCTGTCCCATGCGGCTATGTCGACTTCGGCGGTGTTTTGCGTAAAGGTGAAAAGGACGACGACGCGAGCATACTAGTCGGGAGGCTAAGTTAGACAAGCAAGTTTAAGAGGTGGCATCTGCACGACTGACTCTCAGCCCCATCTCTTCCACTGGAACCCGGTTACAAGTACGGAGTAAGCCTCCGTGGGCGCGCCATCCCTCCTTTCCCCCGTCCCACAATCGCTGTGATGGCTGTACGTACCCCCATGAGGCCCGGGCTGCCTTGATCACCAAGGAAGCTTCGAACGGCGGATAGCAAGGAAGGGTAGGAAAATTTGACAGCCCGAATTTTTTCCCCTCGAAGTGAGAACATCTCAGCTGCCTCTGTGCTCAAGCGCGGCCCAAGAATTGGATCCGGTGAGGGGGCAGGCAGCACCGGCTGAGACTAGCAGCGAAAGAGAATGCACCAACGGACCCGACAGTCTGGTAGAGGTGTGATAGTTAGGCATTAGTAGGCAGCCTTGAGCGATTTCCGTCCAGTTGAGGGGTTTCTGCTTTCTGGGTAGGGTGGATAGACAAGGATCCTTGCAAGTGAGGCAATTGGCTTCCTAGCGAGTGCGGAAATGTGGCAAGATTGCGGTAGAGGCCCGTCAATCCTTGGAGCAGCACAGTGGAAGGGGGTGTATCACGAACGTACGATGAAGCTCAAGGTGATGAGAAAGAAGCACTGACTCAGCCGTTTGGAAGTGGTTAGTGAGCTAGGCAGTTCTTCAGTCTGTTTTAAGGTACGGAAGTAAGCTTACCTGGATGCGTGCCTTCCCGTAGCCCCCTTCTTCCACCTTCTCCTCCCCTCCCCTCCCCTCCCCTACCATCCCCGTGAAGGGTTGTGTTATGGGGTGGAGGGGGAACAGGGAAAGTGGACAGGGGAGAATGACGGATGGGGATTCGGGGGGGGGAATTGGTCGGGTAAAGGTGGGTGTTGTGGAGGGCACTAGAGAAAGTCCGGACTACTGCTAATGGGAAGAAATGGCCGCGTCTCTGAGTATATTGATTCTTATTAGTCCTAGTCTTCTTCGAGTACATATTTTAGTATTGATCGATCTGGACTTGCTTGTCGATCGAACGGCTGTCAGTCTTGGTGGTGTGTGTATTGACAATACCGTGTTATAGGGTAATACAGGTTGCAAACATATACGTTTTCATAACGTTACATAACATGATCACTCCTTTTGGATGGCATGCATTGGCGACGGGGTGCCAATCGGCCACCGCCATTTTTCCATCCATGTGTCATCTCGTTCGCTTACTCTTCGTTTTTGATTGAACCAAGAGGTTCCTGTCGACGTAAGAGTCAACGCACTTGATTCGCATAAGCAAAAAGGATGTCATCTGAGGTCAGGTTGATGGCTTAACTCATGACTCAAGGGTTAGACCAAAATTAAACAGAAAAAAGAAAACGCCTCGTTAGATTCGCGACGCTGGCTTACGTATCACGCTACCGGTCAATTACAGCATGGTCTCGAATCAAGATAGCTGAGCTACTTAAGCGCCGAGCTTTGTGGAGGTTAGTTTTATTTTTCCAGCTCCCCCCAAGACCTCAACTCATGCACAGCAACTGTGCCGCACGTCATATCGGGAAGGCAGGCAGACAGGCAGGCAAGACGGTAATCTATTGATTTGGCTGTGGAGCCGATGCGATGCACAAAAGGGCCGACTCACCCGGCCACTGGAGTCACAATGATACAAGCCTCTGCCAATGCCTGTATTCCCTTAGAGATCAAAAGATTCCGGTCGATCGAAGCATCAAAGAGCGAACTAGAACTTATTTGCCCTAAGGCGGGGACTGAAACTGAACTCCGTGCTTGCCTGTTCAAGTAAACACGCAATAGATGGGTTAGC